ACCTTCACAGTAAGTGTTACAGCTCTTAAAGATGGCACATACCCAACGAGTGAGCAGCAGCAAGATTTATTGTGAAGAGCAAAAGAATAAAGCTTCCACAACATGGAAGGGGACCTGAGCAGGTTGCTGCTACTGGCTGGGGTGGCCAGCTTTTATTCCCTTATTTTTCCCCTCCCATATCCTGTTTCTGTCCTATCAGAATGCCCTTTTCTCAATCCTCCCCATGATTGGTTACTTTTAGAATCCTGCTGATTGGTCCATTTTACAGGGTGCTGATTGGTCCATTTTACAGAGCACCGATTGGTGCATTTTTACAGAGTGCTGATTGTTGTATTTCACAGAGCACTGATTGGTGCATTTTACAAACCTCTTGCTAGCTGCAGAGTACTGACTGGTGCATTTTACAATCCTGGCCACAGAGTGCTGATTGGTGCATTTTTTTTTTTTTTTTTTTTTGAGATGAAGTCTCACTCTGTCGCCCAGGCTGGAGTGCAGTGGTGTGATCTCAGCTCACTGGTAGCTCCACCTCCCAGGTTCGTCCTGCCTCAGCTTCCCAAGTAGCTGGGACTACAGTTGCCCACCACTGGCTAAATTTTGTATTTTTAGTAGAGGAGGGTTTCACTGTGTTAGCCAGGATGGTCTCAATTTCCTGACCCTGTGATCCGCCCACCTCAGCCTGCCAAAGTGCTGGGATTACAGGTGTGAGCCACCACACCCAGCCGATTGGTGAGTTTTAGAATCCTCTTGTAAGAAAAGTTCTCCAAGTCCCCACTCGACCCAAGAAATCCATCTGGCTTCACCTCTCAGTGGGATTTCTGGATCATGTAGAAATGAGAAGGGACAACGTGCTAGCAGCGCTCGCTCGCTCTCGGCACCTCCCCGGCCTCGGCATCTGCTCAGGCCGCAGAGGAGTCCTTCAGCCTGCTGCTGCGCTATGAGGGCGCCTCTCTGGGCTGGCTGAGGCCAGAGCTGGCTCCCTTCGCTCGCGGGGAAGTGTGAAGAGAGAGGTGTGGGCCCACGGCACTCGTGGGCTGGCATGGGTTCCAGGTGAGGATGGGCTCGGCAAGCCCTGCACTCTGCGTGGCCAGCCAGTGCCTGCTGGGCTTGATCAGGGGACAAGCTCCCTCTGGGCTGCTGGAGTGCCTGGGCTAGGTGCCACAAAGTCCCACAGTGAGTGCCAGTGAGAGGTGCTGGCTGGGACTTGGAGAACTTTTCTGTCTAGCTGAAGGACTGTAAACACACCAATCAGCACTCTGTGTCTAGCTAAAGGTTTGTAAATGCACCAATCAGCACTCTGTGTCTAAATAAAGGTTTGTAAACACACCAATCAGTGCTCTGTGTCTAGCTAATCTGGTGGGGACTTGGAGAACTTTTGTGTCTAGCTAAAGGATTGTAAACGCACCAATCAGCACTCTGTCTAGCTAAAGGTTTGTAAACAGACCAATCAGCACTCTGTCAAAATGGACCAATCAGCTCTCTGTAAAATGGACCAATCAGCTGTGTGTAAAATGGACCAATTAACTGTATGGACCAATCAGCAGGATGTGGGTGGGGCCAAATAAGGGAATAAAAGCAGGCCACCTGAGCCAGCAGCAGCAACCCACTTGGGCCCCCTCCATGCTGTGGAAGCTTTGTTCTTTCGCTCTTTGCAATAAATCTTGCTGCTGCTTACTCTTTGGGTCCACCTTTATGAGTTGTAACACTCACCGGGAAGGTCTGCAGCTTCACTTCTGAAGCCAGTGAGACCACAAACCCACTGGGAGGGATGAGCAACTCCAGATGGGAGGAACAAACAACTCCAGATGCGCCACCTTTTTGAACTGTAACACTCCCCACGACGGTCTGCAGCTTCACTCCTGAGGCCAGCGAGACCACGAACCTACCAGAAGGAACGAACACCTCCAGACGCACTACCTTTGAGAGCTGTAACACTCACCGTGAAGAGCTGCAGCTTCACTCCTGAAGTCAGTGAGACCACAAAACCCACCGGAAGGAAGAAACTCCAGACACATCTGAACATCTGAAGGAACAAACTCTGGAAACACCATCTTTAAGAACTGTAACACTCACTGCGAGTGTCTGCGGCTTCATTCCTGAAGTCAACGAGACCAAGAACCCACCAATTCTGGACACAGTAGTACTATTTTTAGTTTATTGCAAAATCTCCACACTGCTTTTAATAGTGGCTGCATAATTTACGTTTCACTGACAGTGTTTAATAGTTCCCTTTTCTCTGCATTCTCACCAGCATCTGTTATTTTGTGATTTTTAAATAAAAGCCATTGTAACTGAGATGAGGTGATATCTCATTGTGGTTTTGACTTGCATTTCCCTGATAATTAGTGATCTTGAGCATTTTGTCATATACGTCTTGGCCACTTGTATTTCTTCCTTGGAGAAATGTCTATTTATGTTTTAGCCAAATTTTTAATGGGACTATTGGGTTTTTACTGTTCAGTTGTTTGAATTCCTTATATATTCTGGATCTTAGCCCCCTTTTGAATGAGTAGTTTGCAAACAGTTTCTTCTATTCAAGTGGTTGTCTCTTCACTTATTGAATGTTTCTTTTGCTGTGCAGAAGCTTTTTAGTTTAATATAGTCCCTTTTGTCTATTTTGGGTTTTGTTGCTTGTGATTTTGAGGTTTTAGCCATAAAATCGTTGCATGGACCAATGTCCTGAAGAGTTTTCCCTATGTATTCTTCTACTAGTTTTATAGTTTCAGGTATCACATTTAAGTCATTAGTCCATCTTGAGTTGATTTTTGTACATAGACATAGAGGTCTAGTCTCATTCTTCTGCATATGGCTAGCCAGTTTTTTTTTTTAATGTGCTATTTATTGAAGACGGTGTCTTTTCCCCAGTGTATGTTCCTCATGGCTTTGTTGAAGATCAATTGACTGTAAATATATAGATTTATTTCTTGAGCTTCTATTCTGTTTCTTTGGTCTATATGTCTATTTTTACATTAATACAATGTTGTTTTGGTTACTACAGCCTTGTAATATGTTGGGAAGTCAGGTATGGTGATGTCTCTGCCTTTGGTTTTTCTCAGGATCACGTTAGCTTTTCTGGCTCATTTTGATTAATACAAGTGTCAGGCTAATTTTTTTTTCTATTTTTGTAAAGACTGACATTGGTGTTTTGATAGGGACTGAATTGAATCTGTATATTGCTTTGCATTATATAATCATTTTAATGATATTAATTCTTCTGATCCATGAGCACATAGTATCTTTCCATTTGTCCTCTTTAAGTTTTCATCAGCGTTTTGTAGTTTTCCTAGTAGAAATCTTTCACTTCCTTCATTAAATTTATTCACAGGCATTTTTTTTTTTTGGTAGCTATGGTAAATAGGATTTAGTTTCTTTGTTAATTTTACTTCTCAATGATCTGCCTAATGCTAAGGGTGGGATGTTGAATTCTTGCAATATTATTGTATTGGAGTTCATCTCTCTGTTTAGATCTGCTAGTATTTACTCTGTGAATCTGGGTGCTCTAATGTTGAGTACATATATATTTAGAATGTTATTTCCTTTCACTGGATTGCTTCCTTTATTTTTATGAAATGACCTATGTAGGTTTTTTTTTTTTACTTTTTGAAATAAAGTATATTTTATGTATATAAATATAACTACTCCTGCTTGCTTTGGGTTTCTGTTTGCTTGAAATACCTTTTCCAAAGCTTTATTTTCAGTCTTTATGTGTCTTTATAGGTGAAGTGCATTTCTTGTAGGCAGCCTATAGTTGGATCGGTTTTTATCCTTTCAGCCAGTGTATATCTTTTCAGTGGAGAATTTAATCTGTTTATATCCAAGGTTATTACTGATATATGAGGTTTTGTTCTTGTCATAGTGTTAGTTGTTTACTGGTTGTTTTGTACATTCTTTCTTTTTTTTCCTCTGTTTATTCTTGTGGTTTGGTGTTTTTCGGTGGTGGTACCATGTGACTCCTTTCTCTTCCTCATTTGTGTGTTTGCTTTACCAGCAAATTTTACACTTGCATGTGTTTTCAGGATCATACTTTTCTTCCTTTTGGTTCCAGGTTACACTCACCCACCCTGCCTCTGGTTTCAGTCCTGACTAGACTGTGGCATCAGTTTAGGTTATTCCCCAAATCTGACCTCAGTGAGTATTTTTCCTTCGTCATTCCTAACTTTCTGAACCTTGAGAGACAGAAGAGACCATGCTCTACTGATGGCACAAAGCATATCATAACTTCCAAAAGTCGTGGAGGCTGCTGTTAAAAGGAAAAGACAGAAACAGAGAGAAATGGCTTTTCTCACATAGCTTGGGCAACTAGTTGGTTAAGTACTGCCTCAAAAAAAAAAAATAGCTGGAAGCCAAACACACACACACGTGCGCGCACACACACACTATTTTTACACCCAAATCTCTTATACATCTAATCCAGGCAAGCATATATCTGACTGCATTTTGCTGGTTTATATATATATATATATATATATACACATACTTTTTTTTTTTTTTTTTTTTTTTTTGAGACAGAGTCTTGCTCTGTTGCCCAGGCTGGAGTGCAGTGGCGTGATCTCAGCTCACCACAACCTCTGCCTCCTGAGTTCAAGGGATTCTCCTGCCTCAGCCTCCTAAGTAACTGGGATTACAGGCACCTGCCACTATGCCTGGCTAATTTTTGTATTTTTAGTAGAGACGGGGTTTCACCATGTTGGTCAGGCTGGTCTGGAACTCATGACCTAGTGATCTGCTGGCCTTGGCCTCCCAAAGTGCTGGGATTATAGGCATGAACCACCATGCCCAGTTGCATTTTGCTGGTTTACATCTTTACTTATTTTTAAAGCCTGCTTTAGATGATCACCCTAGCTTTATCATAATTGTATAGGAGTCTCAAAAATTCCCCAAACAACGATGGTCACGCTACATTTTCCTTGGTCTTTCAAATAATGATAAAGACAGCCTTGAGCAGACTCTCTTGTTGTAGGTTGTTGATGGTTCTCATTTAAATAAAATCTATTCCAATGCAATTTTTCTATTATGCCATCATGCATAATTTATTTAATTGCTGATTAGATAGTAGGCAAATTCAAGATATTAGGCAAATTCAGTATCATATACTTTCATTCACAGTTTTCTTTGGCTTAGAATAATTTCAAAGATAGAAGAGAAAATATGATTGTATAGTTTTGTTATAGGGCCGTGAATGGTACAAATTTATGAGAAAATCTCTATTTGGAAGTATCTAGAAAGAGGAGTGCACAATCCTCCAAGTCCTCTTCATTTTAGTAGTCCTCAGCATCACCAGCACAGATGGCAAGCAGTGCTTTCTCATAATGCCCTGAAGCAAAATTCTGAAAAGAAAAAATATATTTGAAATACAATGTCATAATAGTTCTAAAAAGGAAGCATAATTCCTCTGAACTGCACTATGAAAGAGCCATGGACCATTAGCCTTTCTAAATTTATTTACTTTTCTCATATAAAGATTTAACACATCCTAAGTACTATTCCCACTGAAAGTTGTTAAAGAATGATGATCTGGTTAGAGTCAGTAGTATGTGGTTTGTATAAAGTTGGTTGAACCTGAATGTGTATTTATAAGAACAATAACTTGCCTTAGAATAAAATATTCTCCTCAACTTTAGGAAGATGTGCCCTAATATTATTATTATGATTGTTATAAATGAATGTAGAATGTGGAGAACAAATGAATATGTCTCAAAAGATTTAAAAATGTTTATAATTATTAATGTAGTAATAATTCTACCTCAAGAAATATATATTTAAAAAGTTACTATCAGTCATTGATAAGCACAAAGTTTTGTGCTAAAAATATATACACCATAATATTACGTATAATAGTGAAAAACTGAGAAGCAATGTATAATAATGTGAGGTAGTTTGTGTACTTTATAGCTTATACAGTAGAATACCATGATTCAGTAAAAATACTCTTTTACATAGCAAAACATATTATTATTTATATAGTTTTAGAAAATGACTGAAAGTACCTGTCTCAGTGTGTTCTGGCAGCTGTGACAAAAGTACCATAAACTGGGTGACTTATAAACAATAGGAATTTATTTCTAACAGCTCTAGAGGCTGGCAAGACCAAGACCAAGCAGATGTGGTGCCTGCTGAGTGCCTGTCTCTCCACAGACAGCCTTCTTCTCATTCTAAGCTCACATGGCAGAAGGGACAAAGGTGATCTCTTCGGCCTATTTTATAAGGACATTAATCCCATTCATGGGCTCCACCTTCATGACCTAATCACCTCACAAAGGCCCCACCTCCTAATATCATCACTTTGGGGTTAGAATTTTAGCAGATACATTTTGGGGAGACACAAACCTGCAGGCCAAAGCAGCATAAAAATTTATTAATGATTATCTGTAGAAAATTAGGGCAATTTTAATTTTCTTATAATGGTCTTCTATAATTTCTATATTTTCCAAAATCAATGGTAGTAATAAATAAATATTATTATAAAATGTTTCTTTGTTAAGTATCAACTTTCATATTAAGGTGCTTTGGCACAAAGTCATGTAATGATAATTCAGTACTTTAAATGCACATAGTAAAGTTGCATTAATTACATTTTCATATTAGCAGATTTTGAGGCGGCTGTGATTAATTATAATAAGTGCCTAAGAACTAATTTATTCATTTAGAAAGTGAATTGTGCCATGCATTTCTCATCACTAAAAGAGTTTAGAGTTTTGAAGGTAGCTGTAGGAGAGTTTTATCAAAGAAGAAGGAATAAGATTTCTCTTAGCTGCTCCATCAACTCTTCCTCTTAGAAACCATTTCAGCTCTCCAGAGGCCTACGGTCTTCTGTGTTATGTGATCTCTTGGGCTTTAGGTTGCTTCTAGATTACTCTTTCAATAAACTAACGCACTGCTTCTTGCAATTACAAATTCCAGTAGAAAACAATGTGAACAAGGTAACAGCTCTTAGCTCTGGGCAAAATATAAGTTAAGCTCTATTCTCATGTCCCTGTGCTCGGCTTGGTTTAATGCTCTGCTTTCACCATCTCGAAATTCTTTAAACTTTTTTGAACAAGGTGCCAAGCATTTTTATTTCCCACTAGAATCTCAGTTAGGTAAATGGTCCTATATATTCTAAGAGTTCTTTGTTAGGTTTTATCAAAATGCAGTGTGAAGTTCAAAAGTTTCAGAATGAAAACACTGGCTTGTTCAGTACTGAATCATTGCTCCTTTGCCCTTCAAGGGCTAAAGGGATAAGGATATGTAGAGTTGTACAGAGCTAGGAACATTAAGTCCCTCCGAATTAGCAGTTTATGATATTTGACTGACTGCCCTGCCTTCTATGACAATATGAGAGGAGAGCTGAACTGACTTAAGAAACCTCTTCACAAGTAATGCAGCCTTTTGCAATGTATATTTTTCCTGAGCCTGATCACATTTCAGAATTTAGCTCTTTAAGCACAGTTATAGAGAATTAGTATTTTACATGACTGCATCAATGCTTCTGGGTAAAACACATCAAAGAGGAATAAGTTCTGTCGCTGAGGTAAAGGGTTTTCTTTTTTTCTTTTTTCTTTTTCTTTTTTCGAGACGCAGTCTCACTCTGTCGCCCAGGCTGGAGTGCAGTGGCGCGATCTCGGCTCACTGAAAGCTCCGCCTCCCGGGTTCACGCGATTCTCCTGCCTCAGCCTCCCAAGTAGCTGGGACTACAGGCGCCCGCCACTACGCCTGGCTAATTTTTTTGTATTTTTAGTAGAGACGGGGTTTCACTGTGTTAGCCAGCATGGTCTCGATCTCCTGACCTCGTGATCCATCCGCCTCGGCCTCCCAAAGTGCTGGGATTACAGGCTTGAGCCACCGCGCCCAGCCAAGGTAAAGGGTTTTCTAAGTTAGCACCTGTTGATGTTCTAAAGACTGTATAGAGGAAAAAAGTAGGTTATCCCCGTCTGAATAGTTACCTTTTTAGACTCTGCCATGAAGTTATTTGAATGAGAGCTTTTATCTCAGTTTCAAAAAGGAGGAAATGTGGGTCCAAATAAATCATGTGTCGGAGACTTACTCTGATATCATGAAATAGGGATTTTCCATATCGCTCTTTGTATCGTTTCCTTATGGTCAGCAGGTCTATTTCACTTCTGGCAATGATAATCCTGATTACAGTTTTATTATGGAAACCGAAGTCCTAAAGATACAGAAAAGTGGGGGAAGTGAGAAGACAGCCTCTTAAAAGTCAGTCTGTCCCAAATGGATACACCCCTTTTCCGTAGTCATTTTCTCTTCTTCCTGAGTTCTTCCAACACTGGCATCACCGGCTGTGGCTCAGATCCTGAGTGGCTCAGATCCTGAGTCATTTCTGTCGCTTCTCGCTCTCCCTTACTGCATGCTGGCATTGAATTATTCTCTCCTATTTTCTGAATGCCTTGTGCTCTCTATTCCAGTGCCACCACCTTGACTCTGACCCTTATCATTTCACCCTGATTCTGCAATAGTTGCTCCCCCTTTTTAGTCTTGTCAACCTTCACACTGTCCCGCTCACACTGCATTATAAACTACAAATCTGATCCTGTGGTCCTTCTCGGTAAGAATTCTTCCTTGGAGGGGAAGACGTTCTGAGCTCTGTCAGATGGACATTGATTTGTGTAAGAGAGCAATAACATTTTAATTTTCTTTTCTGGTCATTATTGAGAAATTATAAAAATTAGAATTCTAAGTGCTTCAAATATTTGCTGATTTAAATTCAAATGCAGAAAAATACAAAATCAACGTCTGTATGCTAGCCCCCCAAATACTACACCCCCACAAATCAGTTCCAAATTGTCTTTCCAAACGGAGTAATCCTGACATCTAGTGGCCAGAAAACAGAATCTAAGTTTTGAAGCCTAAATGTTTTGGATGTATATTACTAATAAACTTTTCCTAATTTGAGGTGGTTAAAATGAATGATCTAACCAAGTATTCAAATTTAAAATGTAGATCGTTCACTTTAGAGTGCACTGGAGAAGAACGCAGAATATAGCTTTGGTTCAGGAGTGATTAAAGCAGCTTTTTAACAAATATTTGACATTTGAGGTCTTCATGTATCAAAAATTACATTGCTTGAATATACAATCCTTCTCTGTTCCTACAAACCACTTGTGAATACACATATCTTCCTTTTGCCTTATAACACATACACAGCAAAAATACAGTTTTCATGTATTATTAGAATAAGTAGCCTTGAATTTGTGCAAAATTGGAATCAAGGTAATTGTGATTATTTTCCCATAGTCATTCACAAGAGAAGCTTCATACTATTGTTGTAGTGGTTGGTTATTTGAGAAAGAAACGATTGAAATCATCCTATAGCATTTCCCAATACACTATTTCAAATAAATGTTTAACCGAATCAACTGTTTCTCCCAGAAAATAGAATAAAAGAGAAGCAAGACGGTGAGCATTGATTTTCCTTTTGTGTTCTGGGGTTACCCAGGTTCTTCCTCTGCATAAATGAGAAATACATTGCAGAAAATATATAATAACATATTTCTGACTATTAACATATTTTCCCAGCATGCTGGCTACTTTTAAGAAGTATATCTGTTAAATTTACTTTGAGGATAAAACTGGTTATTAAAATTACTGTACTATTGGATTTATTTTTAATCATTTTCTTTGAGTTTTCAAGGCTATGACATGTGTATAATCATCTGTATGAGGCTTCTTTCTTTTTCTTTTTCTCTCTCTTTTTTTTTTTCCAGACACAGTCTCCCTCTAAGGCCCAGGCTGGAGTGCAGTGGCTCTATCTCGGCTCACTGCAAGCTCCGCCTCCCGGGTTCACGCCTTTCTTCTGCTTCCACCTCCTGAGTAGCTGGGACTACAGGCACTTGCAACGACTGCCCGGCTAATTTTTTGTATTTTTAGTAGAGACGGGGTTTCACCGTGTTAGCCAGGATGGTCTCCATCTCCTGACCTCGTGATCCACCCGCCTCGGCCTCCCAAAGTGCTGGGATTACAGGCGTGAGCCGCCGCGCCCCGCCGAGACTTTCTTTTTCTAACTATGTGTCATGTATATATGGATAAGTTGTGCATTATGTGATGCACTTCAGTGTTTTTTAAAAAACGAATGCTCCAGGCCAGGCGCGGTGGCTCACGCCTGTGGTCCCAGCACTCTGGGAGGCCGAGGCGGGCATATCACCAGGTCAGGAGATCGAGACTATCCTGGCTAACACGGTGAAACCCCATCTCTACTAAAAAAAACCCAAAAAACTAGCCGGGCGAGGCGGCGGGCGCCTGTAGTCCCAGCTACTCGGGAGGCTGAGGCAGGAGAATGGCGTGAACCCGGGAGGCGGAGCTTGCAGTGAGCCGAAATCGCGCCACTGCACTCCAGCCTGAGAGACAGAGCCAGACTCCATCTCAAAAAAAAAAAAAAAAAAAACAAAAAACGCCCCAAAGTATGTGTGACTGAATAACGCACTGAAGTATGAAATACATTCCCATTTAATTACAAAAATAGATTTAGACTTTATGGTTTTCTAGTTGTCACTTTAAATACTTTTTGAAAATAACACAATGTTTAAAAATATCCATTGATATAATTTCGTGTATTGAAACTTCAGGAACGTGGCAATTTCTTGCTGAGAGTTTGTAATATTTTGACATTTTCTGCTTACTGCCATATGTTTTGTACTTGCATAAGTCCGATGTGGGGATCTTTGGAAATATACAAAGACATTTGAATTTACCAGTTTCTGCAGATGTTAAATAACCTCTAAAGTACACGGGGATATATACCCCAAATATGGTTCCCTAAATTTGATACAGAAAGCAGAGCATTATTTTTATTGGATGTGTCTTATTTTTGGTGTCTAAACCATTTTGTTTTTCACTTGGGTGTATTTTCTTTGTACATACAAGTTCAAAAATGGTAATGAACATTTAAATGATGGAAGTAAATTTATCCTTTGACAAACAGACACAATTTCTGGAGAAATTTTAAAAATATATGAGTCTTACTTACATGAATTGCACTATATAATCTATAAGCAAAATAGGCTGGTTTGTCTCGAACACAGAGAACTAGGAGAAATCAGAGAGAGAAGAAACATTGAGAGTGAAAACATACATTTTCGTCAGAATTTGAGAAACAATAGCACTTTTCCTGTTACAATTCTTACATTGTATTATAATGTCAACACTTACAATAATGGTAACACTATAAGCCACAGGAAAAAAATATAAAGCAACAACATTATAATGAGTCATGCAGATTTTCACTTGATCTATTTCTATCTGTTGGAACTCTTATTAGTTCCTTCATGTAGCCTAATGAAGAAAACTTTATCATCTTTATCTGAAAATTAAATCAAAAGAGCTTCAAAGAAACCTAGGTTATTACCACTATTATAGATTATTATTATCATCATTGTAGGATTCAATATGATATAGCTCCCATGTAATTTGTTCATCTATTTGAATACTATTTTTAGTAACTTATAGATTTGTGAGTAGACCTGAAGTCTCTGAAGGAGAAACTGTATGGACCACAACTGGTGTAGAACAGTTTTAGAAGTCATCTAATAAAAACTGCTAAGGCATTAGAACAGCCTAGAGAATGGTCAACAGTTATCCTTGCTGGAAGTCAGCTGATGATCATAAACTTTCAGTAATGTTTATTTGAATAGGTTAACAAATTAATACATGAATGGGTAATGTATGAGAGGCTATAATCTCTAGCCAGAATGAAATCATCATAACAGTGTTTCCCTAGTAGTTTAAGTAATGATTTTAGGTTGTGAGATTATACCCTCATCTTTTCTTTCATTTTTAATACATGAAACATCATAATCACTCTTGAGTCATAGTCTTTATAACCTCCTTGAAGGCAGTGACTTTTGCTGTTTTTGTTGTTTCATTGTTCTATCTGTCGTGCCTAAGTCAGTGTCTAGAACAGTAGGTGCTCAATAAATGTCTACTGAGTGAATAAATCAGTTGAAATGTTTTCTGCCATTTATAATGTCCACCACTTCCTCTCTTATGCCCACTGCTTTGTGGCAGGGGTCTATAGTGGAAAGAAAGCTATCTTGAGATTCGGATATTATGAGTTTTAGTCATAACTTGGTTGCTAATCAGCTGATCGGCTTTGAGGCAGTCAGTTAATTTCCTTAGGCATTGTTTATAAAGTGAAGGATTTTGATGTGGTATGTGGTTATTAAATTTTGTAGAGAATTTTCTGGAATAAATGTGACATCCTCAGAAAAAAATACACAGTTATTAATAGTCATTTCTTGCATACTATTTTAGGGGCTTCATCAAACTGTTTTCATGGAACCCTAGCTTGAGACTTCTTTACTGGATAAGCTGCAAAAGTTCCTTTATCTCTCAACTGTCACACTCATGTATGCTTCTGCCATTCAAGGATGGAAAATCACAATATTCATTTATTCAACTAGTATCTAGGTGATTACTTGACTGTGCCTTCGATGGAGATATTTCACAATGACCCCCTTTGGTCGTCCCTGAAATGTGTGCTGTCAGCTCACAGCACAGTACGAGACAAAGGTAGTTCTATTGCACAGGTAGTTCTATTGCAGTTTTTCTGGATAAGTAGCCCTGTTTTGTCCTCTATGGAGGGATATTATTTCTTAGGAAGGAGCAAGAGGTGTGCCACTATCACAATAGCCTGAGGAAAATCACTACTTAGTAAATCTCTTTTATGGTAGGATTTACTCCTAAACCAAAATTTGTTAGTAATGGTCACTAAAAAATCCTTTACCTCCTAAAGAGAAGAAAAGCACACTGTTAAGTATTTATCTGCTCTTGAGCAAGGGAATGGAAGTCAGTAAAGATAAAATGGATTGAACAGTGTGAGAAGCCAATTCCGAAGAGAAAATACCTGAGAATGATGTGTTTTCTGGTATGAAAGTTGAACTAGCTGTTGGGGGGGTATCAGTTCATTAAAGTCATCAGGTTGCCAGTTTAGTGCATTTTATTAGTAACTGATGTACTCTTCCACTATGGAGTTTACGTCCTTTTAAATAATAAAATTCAAGGGAAAAAAATGACTCGATCAAGAGCTTACTCATGTGTCTTTAGTTCATTCAGAGCCACTCAGCATTTATTAAGAAATAAAATGTCTGCTGTACTTCAAATAATTTATTACTTACCAATTGCAACCAACAGCTCCTGAAAGTATCCATCATAACATTCATTAATGGCATCTACCATGTCTTGCCCAGAAATATTTTGAAATTCCTGAAAAACTTCAACAAATTGATGTAATTCAAAGGAGATTTTGAAAATATTATAAATGTATAATATAAATATTAATTAGATTGTTACACATACTAAAAATCCATATTTTCCATAAAATAATTAAAAGTACTACTGCTACCAATTCTGTTTACTATAAATACCATTGAAACAAATATAGATACTCTTAGTAGAGTCATCATAAATCTTGAACTTCAAAGACCTGTTATTATTCTCTTCTCCTGGGGAACAAATGCCACCTCCAGTGAGACCCACTAACTCACTGCTGATTTAAATTGAGAGGAAGCACACAGCAAGCCATTATTTATGGACCAGTTATTTAGGACATATAGGCTTATGTCAACAACAAACTTCCTACTAGAGCTTAAATATGAGAATTAAGTGTAAAAGTCCTCTCTGTGATGATTAAAATAGCAGTCAAAGTATCTATAAAGAACATTCTGAGAAAGATGAAATCAACTTTATGGTTATAGACTAGAGTTTACTAATTTAGAATTGTGATAAATTAAGATTCCTTATTTCAAGAACTTAGTTATATGACTATCCCAGGCAACTTTAGTTCTCATCCATTCTTACTCAAAATTAGAAGCAAGAAGATGTCTTTTCATTATTATTATATGATTATCATTAAGACAGGTAATGTCTCTTATTGACTTGTAAAGTCCAGATGTGGGATTGGGGTGGGGTAGGCCATCTGTTGAAAATTTTCAGCCATCTGTGTATTTTATATAGAAAAAATTTGTTTTTAATAAAAGAAAGATATTGTAGTTTAGGGAATAAATAAAGGGCAAACTAACATGAGTGCACTCTCTAAAACCAATAAGGTTCTATCAATATTGCAGAAATCATGACATCAATAATAATGACCTTGATGCAGTATTGACTGGTTAAACTATATTTACTATACATTTTTGCAAGACAACATATAATATACCTAGTAAGAAATAGCTAATATATTTGAATAAGTACTCCATCAAATACAGAGATAATTTTTAAAATGCTCAGTATTTGAAAGTTATTGGAAAAAATATTAAGGAAATACTTATCCCTTAGTAATGTCATTAAATAAGGCACATCTTATAAACAAAATTCAAAGTAAGTACCTTTGAGGTAACTGACTTTCCTCCATTTCCTTGTAATATATCCTTTTTGTTTCTAGTAAACCACCTTCTTTTTGTTATATAATAGGCCGAGTAGCTGGAAAGAACCCCAGTTCATAATTACCCAGCCACAGCTGCTGGTAGCTCTTGTTGCACAGGATCATTTGCAGCATGGTTTTGTGCTCCCCCGTCTTCTGCTGACAGGCTTCCCATAGGACCTGGAACATTAGCCAGCAGAGAAGTAGCATCAGAACCACTCCAGCCCATTTTAACCAAGGTTCTTTGCAATCAGTCTGAGAACTGGCTCTAGTTACCATTGCATCCTGAGCAGCCATAGCAGGGTCTGCATATCCTTCCTCTCTGGTCCCCTGTAAAGTAAGCACAGGTTTTCCATGTAAATGTTCTTAGTCAGCAACTCATATAGGATTAGTGGGACCAAAATCCTTGAACTACTAAATATTCTGATTGTTCCTAAGGAACTTCTATTATTATCTGGAGTAAGCGTTCATTTCCTGATTTCCTGAATACTTTAGAAGATAGTATATAAGGTGTTGTCTTAAAATGTGCATTATTTTATTTTACTTTTTCTTTGCAGCACTAGTAATGTTTGAAAGACATTGAGGCATTTTTCAGTTTTCCAAGTCTCTGTGCAGTATCTTCTCCCTTATCAAACTGAGTATCCACTGCCTGACCATGGCAGTGGCTGTTAGAAATGAGTGTTAACATTGTTAGAGCAAAAATGCAGAGAAAGTCCATCTCTGACTTGCACAATAGGACTTGTACAACAACAAAATAGTAATGAAATTCAGACTTTGTGCAGTTAGAATATTTTGTACATCTGTTTAACTCTCACTCCATTATCATTTAGAGAACAGACATGGTCCAGTTGATCATTTCAAATAGGAGGGAAGGGGCACTAACCAATGCAGGGAACATTGATTCCTGAGGGATATGAGGGCCAGTGGGGAGAAGGAGGTAGGGAGGCATGTTATCAGTCTAATGAACTGTTTCTTTTGGGTCCAGATATAGAGGGGAGGCTTTCTCTTCGCTCCAATTATGTTAAGAGAACACTGAAAGTACAGTAGTTTCTGCTTCTACCAATTTTTTTTTTTTTTTTTTTGAGACAGGGCCTTGCTGCATTGCACAGGTTAGAATGCAGTGGCATGATCATAGTTCACTGTAATCTCAACCTCCTGGACTCAAGCAATCCTCCTGCCTCAGCCTCCCGGGTAGCTTGGACCACAGGCATGTACCACCATGATTGGCTAATTTTTTTTTCTCAGAAAGGGGATCTCACCATATTGACAAGGTGGGCTGGTCTTGAACTCCTGGCCTCAAGCGCTTCTTCTGTGTCAGCCTCTCAAAATGTTGGGGTGACAGGCATAAGCCACTGTGCCTAGCTCTATCATCTTTTAGGACACTAGAAACAGCCACAGTGCAGTGAACCCAGTGAGACAGCAAGATTGGGCACAGGGAGGTCTTGAACACAACTTCCTTGAATAAACCTCAATCCCTAAGTAGTATGAATGGGATCCCAAATTTCTTACATGTGGAGGAACTTGCAATCTAGCTGAGAACCTGTGGGGAAGCTTGCCAGATTGAGTTTATGACCATGGCAGGGACAGTGTTTCAGCAGTCAAGGGCTATAGGATAGACCACATTGACTTGAACTGTGTGGGAGACACAGCTAGACCTTTGGGGGAGTCTCCAGCTCCCGTGAGAGTAAAGGTGAGGCTAAATCATCCTGAAAGGTTACTCTGACCAAACTGGTCAGTTTGGCTCTGACCAAAGTGAGACAGAGAAAAGATCATAAATTAAATCAGTGGCTTATCTTGGCAGCTAACACTGATAAATGCTCATATGCTTGTCATTGACACCTCATATGTTCTTGTCCAGAATTGCCAAGAATTGCTATTCCATAGTCAAGACCGGCAAAAATGTGGGCAATATCTTGATCTAAGGACACAGTGACCTTCCTGTTCCCAAGATATTTCATTAACCACACACACACCTCTCTACCAATTACCTTCTTAGAGAGAAAGGAGGAGGATGGCCAAAATCTGAGAGTCAGATACTTAACCCAATAAAAGTAGGAATGAGATTGAACATGCACCCACATTCACTATTCGAAGTATTACAGAGATTAAATTTGCCACTTTAAATATTAGGGCTTTTTTTCTTGATAACAAAAATCTAGAGGCATATGAGAAAGTGCAATTTATTCACAAAGAAATAAGAAAGCTACCATTTGTGAGTAAATGTGTAGCCCTGGAACATTTAATGTTTAATCATAACTCTAAAGTTGTATGTGCCCTAAAGGTAAACAACTGATGGGAAATAGGCATGAGTTTGTCAGTCACATTTCTTCTTCAATTTCCTTTGCTTAAAATACCAAGAGACTAAGGCTGCACATATGCAATTCTTAATCTGAAATCTGTGTATTAAATTAAAGGAGTGAATAATGTTATTGAGTGGTAGGACTCTGGGTGTTATTTTCAAATCATGGAAATGTTGAGGTGCAGGTACCTTAAAAGTTCCACCTCATATTTTGGAGACAAAAATTAGAGATATTAAGTGAATTGCCCAAGGTCTGATTGTTAGAGAAGAATGTTTATTAAATTTCAGTGGCATTTCTGACTCTGAGGTCTGGTTTTCATACTCTTCCCTTAGCCTAAATAACTTACTATTTTTACACAATATGCTCTGGCTCCCTTTCAAATTCTCTATGATTTTAATTTATACCAAGTAACAAACAATTGAAAACAATGTGCTATATCTTCTGTGACTTTATGCCATTTATTTAATAACATACATTTGTGGTCATTCTTAGTCTTCATCTTATTTAATCTATCAGTAGGGTTTGGTATAATTGCCACTCTCTTCTTCTTGCTATACTTTCATCACTTGGCTTCCAGGATCCTGCAATCTATTTTATTTTATTGGTTACTCCTCAGTCTTGTGAACTGGTTTCTCTTCTTTTCAATCTCTTACTTTTGGAAGGTCCAGGTAGTCAGTCTTTGATCATCTTTTTGTCTGTATTTACATTTCTTCTCTTGATAATGTTGTCTACTCAGGTGGCTTTAAATTTCATCTATATTGTAATGATACCCATTTATCTTACCCATTTATTTATTTACATCTCTAGCAAAGATCTGTCATCTGAACTTCAGGTATGTACATTCCAATTGCGAAGTCAGCATCTCCACTTGATTTTCTAATATACATATCAGGTTTAGCATGTTGAAAATCCAATGCCTTGACTCCCTCCACCTCAAACTCTTTCTACAGTCCGTCTTCCACACTGCACTTCATCCTTTCTGTTGCTCAGACTAAGAAACTGAGAGTCACATTTGATTCCATTTTCTTCGGCCTTTTCATAGCCCACATCCAATTCCTCAGGAAATAATATAGACACTGCCTTCAAAATGACACAGCATTTTTTTCTATGCATTTTGCCAGTTGGAGGCCTCCGTGGCTGGCAATGCTCCTGCCTGGGCCTTGCTCGCCCTGGGCTTGTGGCAGGAGGTACCCTGCCCATTCAGCCTATTGGGCTGTGTTTGATATGCAACCTGGCCTGGATCCCATGGCCACTGTGACTGCACACTCAGCCCACAGAGTGAGGGGGTGTGTGAGTGAGCAAGCATGGGGTGCAGCTGGCTGCTTCAATCGCTGGCACAGGTGCAGGCTCCATGTGGGGCTTGTGGCTGGACCAGGCACGTCACAAGTGACTCCAGTGTCCAGATGAAGGGGACGTGGTGGTGCCTGAAAACTTACAGATGCCTGGTAAATGGCGGGTGTGAGCTATTTTAGTTCCACCATCCGCAGCCTGACTTAAGGGGGCATGTGCAGCCAAGCAGCTCCTTCTTGCCTTGCTTGGTGAGTGGGAAGGCAGTGCTACAGGGCTGCAGCTCTATTCCCACTCGCTGTTTGGCAGGTCCCAAGTTCTTGCCCCACATCCAAGGAGAATGAGGTTACACTGACAGCCAGTGGTGAACAAGGCGAAGAGTCTTGTTGAGTGAAGAAACAGCTCTCAGCAGAAAAGGAGACCCAAGCTGGGCAGCCCCCTTACCCAAAGTCAGGTAGTTCCCCCCCCTCCACCACCCAAAAGCGGACAGTCCCCTGGTCTGGCTGAGTCCAGGGTTTTTATAGGCTCAGAACGGGGGCATATGTGCTGATTGGTTTGTTAGTATGTAAAAAAGGCTAAAAAGATGCACCACTCAAAGATGGGCACAACAGGATCAAAAACCAATTAGGGAAGGGTAGGAATGTGTAAAATAGGTGAAGGGTGGGGATCAACCAGAGGAAAGCACCTCACATGGGAAGAGTGGTTTTCAATCCGGTCTGTGGATTTTTCTGAGACTTGTAGATGGGTTTTCGGCTTTAAACTGTGTTTGGTGTGAAGGTTGGGTTTCACCGCCCCTATCTGCCTAAAGATTTATCTGTCTCCTGCTGCTATTTAAAATACATCCAGAAACTGGGAACTTACCACCACTGCCAATGCTCTCGTATGGGTCCACGTTAATATTACGGGTAGCTTTACTGCTGAAGCAGCCTCCTTACAGGCTTCTGTTTCTACCTTTGTCTCCCTGTAGTCTTTTCTCAGCATAGCAGCTATTGTGAATATTTTAAAGTATAAGACCACATTCCTTCACTAAAGACCCAGCAATGACTTACCTCATATCCATTTCACTCAAAGGAAAAGCCAAAGTCCTTCAAATGGCTTCAGGATTTGACATAATCTTACCACGTGCTACTTCTCTGAATTCACTTACTATTATAGTAGGTTTCCTTTGCTTGCTCAGAGGCCACCAACTGGCCTTCTTGCTACCCATTAGCTTTTTCTAACCTTACATTTTTCTCTAGCTATACTCTTTACTTGGAACATCCTATCACATTGATTTATTTGTTAACTCATTCTTTTATCCATATTTTTGCTCAAATCTCATCTTCTCAATGAGGCCTACACTGACCAACCTATATAATATGGCAGGAGGGGCACAACGGCTCATGCCTGTAATCCCAACACTTTGGGAGGCTGAAGTGGGTGGACATTGTCAGGTCAGGAGTTCAAGACCAGCCTGGGCAACATGGTGAAGCCCCATCTCTACTAAAAATACAAAAATTAGCCAGGCCTGGTGGCAGGCACCTGTAATCCCAGCTACTTGGGAGGCTGAGGCAGGAGAATTGCTTGAACCCAGGAGGTGGAGGTTGCAGTGAGCCGAGATTGTGCCATTGCACTCCAGCCTGGGTGACAAGAGCAAAACTCTGCCTCAAAAAAAAGAAAAAAAAATGGCAACCTACCCATTATGCTCAGCCCTACAATATGTCTCCCTGTTACTCTGTTCTGCCATATCTTTCATCAACCTTC